TTAAAGAAAAAGGCCATTGACTTTCCTTAAGGATCCCAACACGCTCACAGACACTGCTACTTTTTGGCTACGTGTCCAATACGCGTTCACGGATATATGATGAGTGTAAAAATAATATAAGTTCGTGGGAACTCTCTTGACCCAACGATTGGTCAATAGGATAACTACCGTGTAAAATCCATTTATCTAACAATAAATTTGGTGAAAATGGCATGATCATTTTTAATGAATTATTGATTTTTTAATTTATCCTAAAAATATAAATTTTAGATTAATATATAAATCAAACCTCTTAGAGGTTCTAAAAATATTTGCTACATAATTTAAGGTAAAATGAATACGTAAATAACTTAATTATTTAAAACCTAAATTATATATGTATTTTAATCAAAATAATAAACTTAAATGAAAATCGTAACTTCTAAATGCAACATCAGCTTGTCTGTTTTAATTATTTTTAAAAATAATTCTCCTAAATGATTAGAAAAAACTTAAAACGCGTTGCAACGTACAAACATAAATAATATACTTTACAGAATTCAATAACCGAATGACATTAAACAGAAATTATCGACAAGCCACGCTAATATACCTAATAATTATAATCGATAGTCTTGTATTTAATATCACTAAGGACTTGTGTATAAATATTTATATAAATTAAAAATTAAAACAATGGTTTAATTATATACATTTTGACCAGCCAGAACTCGTATTTCTCCCAATGAATGCTGTACATCTAATCAGTTCTCATAACCTTGCGGAGTTTAGAATAAAATATTTCCTGTAGGGTTTTAATAATCCACATATCTTGATGATTATTAGATTGTATTTTTTATATTGTGTACCCTGTAATGGCCATAATAACAATCCTCATATTTTTAGTCAGATCCTGTTAGTGTACCGATCATAGATGCAATTACGGATGGGTGTATAGGACATTAGCCTCTTCAATATTGTGAATCAATCTTGTCAACACTAATTTAGTAAAATTACAAACAATAGTTTAAATTTTTAATTTTATCACACAGTATGCGACGTCCTCGTATAACAATGGGCCATCGTCGCATGACGAACCCATGTCCTGTGTACATGGAAGAGTCACCAACCCACGGTCGAGGTACGTGACCGAAGCATATGGGATATTTGTTTTACTTAAACACTAATAAATAAGGAATTATAAAATTAAATATTAAAATAAATACATACATAATTTAATAAGATTTTGTTTATTAATCATAGTCATTTTTTAATTTTTAATACAAAGAAAACGTTCCATGATTGCCGGCCCAGAAATATTAAATATATACATTACCACGTGTGCGAATATCGCACACGTTTTTCCTGTTAAATTGTGCCCCAGCGACGACTTACGACGCGGGCATGATGGTGGTGATCTACTCCATGGCCAATCCTGGTGACATTTTCTTAAAAAAAAGTCGAAACACTTAATGAAAATAACAGCAATATGGCTTATTAAAAAAAAAAAACCAATGTGTATTCGTGATCAGTTACAAAAACTGACTCAATCGGCATCTTCAGTCATCGGCAAACTTTTACCATTATACCCAGTGCCGCAATTACACTAACTTGGGTTAGGTTAGGTTAACTAATTGTACCTACGCCATGGGCGCGATTTGCAAAGGGGCGCAAAATTGTGCACCAGTTATATTTTGAATACTACTAATTTTCTGATAACGAAAATAAAGTGTTAAAAATCTCGGAGCTTATAAAATATAAGGTTAGATTATAAGAAAATATAACCTAACCTTATGATATATAATCCGTCAACATTTTCTAGAATATATAAATTATTTTCAAAAGTTTTCCAAAATAGCTAAAATTTTCAGATTTTACAAAAACAACAATATAAAAACAACATTTTTCAAATCCTATAAGCAAATTATTTATATTGATTTTTAAAACCGATTAAACATAATTTTTAGCTATGCAATTTTTGGAAAAAAGCAAACATAATTTGATTATCCTTTTATATCACTATCACAGCAGATATCGCGATTAATAAATCCTCGCGGGATACCCTGCTTATTATACAAGGCGAGGTGATGGACGAAACGATTAACGAACCAACATTTTGAGGGGTTGGTTCTACAGTCATCGTTCTACTCCACCCGTCTAAACATTAAACGCTCGTTAAATAATATAAATGAAACCGTATTAATATTACGATGATCACCGTCATTATCGGCATTCGAATATTTCACGTATTGACAAAATTAATAATAGTATGACACATACTATATAGCCATCATAAAATGTGCTTAACTTAAACGGTTGTTTTCGGACGTTAAATGATATTTTATAAAAACGTTTTCTTAACTCAAGGTCATATCATATTTCCAGATAATGTGAAAATCAATTTTATCGAAAACGAATTTCTATAAAAACTAGATGCAAGTAGTGTTGACAAATATCCACTTACTACTCGATCAAAATATTTACGCTAAGAAAAAAACGCATGCTGCATTCATTCATTTTCTGTTGGTTTTTTTTAGATAAACAAACATAGTACTTATATAATCTTCTTCTTAAGCTTGAAACAGATCATTTAGGTCTAATGCCACTTCTACAATGCCTTTCTATTGCATTCAATCTACTGTCAAATTGATGTTATACATAGGAACCACTCGTGTCAAGTCTCTCTTCACGGTATCGAACCATCTTTGACGTGGTCTTCCTATGGGTCTTTTTCCATTCAAATTTCCATCGAACACTTTTCTTATAAGGTATCCTTCTGCATGCCACACGTGTCCAACCTATTCTAATATTTTGCGACTAAGAAATTTGCAAATGTTCGGTTTATTATTGAGTCTTTATAAATCTTCATTTTTCCTTCTCTCAAAAACTCTTAAGTATACATTAAATGTGAAACTATAAATTCTCCTCAGTATTCTCCTTTTGAAGATGGCTAATTTTCCCTCATCAGCCTTTGTGCCGGCCCACATTTCGCATACATACGTTACTATTGGTCGCAAATAGGTTATGTATAACCTTTTCTTTGTTCACCATGACAGTAACTTTGACATGAAAATCTCTTTCGTTGCGTAATAGAACTTATATAATAATATTAATAATAGCAACGTGTAATATTATGAATGAAAACGTAAAAACTAAGAAAAAATTTTAAAAATCAATATCGCATTATTATTATTTTGAACAGATACTGATTTCGGAAACGTTTAAAAACGTTTGTTCATCTTGCACTGCTTCAAAAAACAGAAAATGATTTATTTGTGTACGCGTAAGCATAAAACATACACATTTCTCCCCAAACGCATATCTCTAGCGCTTGCATTACTGTGCGTTCTACATAATGTAAAGATGAAACTTGTTCAATGTTTTTTTTTTCTTTGTTTGTTTACCATATGAAAATCAAACATAATATTTTTTTCGTTTATAAACTCTCGAAGCGAAGAAGGCGGTACTCCGGTGGGCTTTCGATGTAATAATAATTTAAGATTACCAAAAACTTTTCCAACATTTCATCGTCATCTTTCCAATTCCTTGTGAACATATACTTTCACTGGTGGTTTCATTCGTTCAAAAAAACTTTGACCATTTTATGTGACCAAAATATATTAACGTGAAACTTTCAGTATTTTTTCTGCCCAACCGCCTTCCCCCAGTTCTGTAATTGAAGTAATAACTTCTTTGGGTGACCGTGATACAAAAACAAAAAAAATAAATAATACGCACATGGTGTTAATTTATAATACGAGTGAATAATAATATACGGATAAAAAATAATAATATAATAATATACGAATCACGTGTTTTTTTTTTTGTCAAATAATTATTGCATATAATAACAGTTTATGTAATGCTAATCTATGCAATCTATATCAGAAGTAAAAAGTATTATTTCAGTAAACTGTTATACAAGGTGGTTATGATTAAACGATTAGCAGTGTTACTGTTATTATAGTGCACGTGGCGTATAATGCGCAGTATATAATACAGTACATAAATAGTAAATAGATACATAGTAATTGTATGCAAATAATTAATAGTTACAATATTACCATGTGCATCTAACTCAACCCCAGTGAACCTACTTATTTAAGTTGTAAATTATAATCGTTATCGTCACGATGGTTTATTATTTTATTATGTGTATAAAAAAACAATTTGTAACGCGATCATATCGTACAAACAGTTGGATACAGCGATGTAGCTTTTTTTTGAAGATGGAATCCTTAGTTCTTTCCTGAATAAAACTAACATGGTAAGGTAGTTGTTTTGAAAATCAACTATATTGTAGAAAGATAATCTTAAACACAAGATTTTTTTTTTTTTATATATTTTAATTAATAATAATAATAATAATAATAATAATAATAAATTAAATATTAATTACATAGCATAGTTTAATATCGACGTACATATATATATATATATATATATATATATATACGTGTACGTGTAACTTACATTATTTTTGATAATAATTTAATAACGAGTATACCTTATGTACGTATTATATTAATATAATACTTTAGAGCAACTAAATATATATATATATATATATAAATATTTGTAATGAAAATTACAACACCATATATCCATATATTAACATAATTAATATAATAATATATTAATAATAGGTACGTATAACTACCGTTTTCTAAAAAAAAAAAAAAAATCAATTATCCAGATGAATTATATTATTATAACCATGAAACTCAATTCTTAAATACGTTATAAAAAGGATGATATAATTACGACTTATCGAATTTGGTCCTAAAAAATGTAATAGTTATATTAGTTAATATGATGTAAAAGGTATGTTTAAATATTACTTGCGATTAATAAAACGATTCCAAAATGTTAAACTGGATTTTATAAAATATTATGGATTGTTAATAACGATGGATTTTCTTTTACGTCAGGGAACCATATTAATATATTTGTATTTATGTATGTATGTATGTTAGGTACATATTTTAATATTATAATTATTCGAACATTAGTATAAATATATATATAAATATATATTCCTATTTCTAGACCCTAGTAATATTAATAATAATAGAAACAATAATGATAATGACACTAAACATTGTGTAAACTTATACGTCAAATATTAATCGAATAAATAAACGATAATGTAACGAAAACGGAATAATATTATCTACAAAATAGCGTGTATTTGGTCTGAGATGTCACGGTTACACGATGGCGGTGGAGGTGACGGCGGTGGGCGCTGGTCGTCCTCGTGTCCCGGGATGGCGGTCATCATCACCGGAGTTCATGAGTCTCTGACGAACACGAACTCGTTGTAATGGTTCCAGCGGCTCTCCTCCGAGTCCACGCCCGGCTTCAGTTCGGCCGCAGACGTGCCACCGGCCGTGCCCGATCCGCAGCTGCCCGCCATGTAGAACCCTTGTTCCTGGAGCATGTCGAACGCCTGTTCGATAGACGTGTGTTTCAGAAAGAACCTGCACAACAACATCACACACGTAGCGTTACAACTTTTAATAATATAATAATTGATAATAAATATATATATATATATCGATTTATAATTCTTGGGCCCTTTATATTGTATGCCACCTGGTCTTTATTCCTTAAATCTGCCACTGCAAAAACATCGTTTTAATAGTACTTAAAACTCTGTTTTCGCTTTGCGCGCCTGTTCTGTATAACACTTATACTTCGAGAGTGAAATAATTTTATGATATTGTATGTAGATTGTAAGAAATTCATGAAAAATGTCTGCCTAGTTTATGAGTTTAGTAATTTTACGAATTCGGCATATTATAACCTCTGAAACTACTCAAATAATTGTCATGCATGTTTTTTTTAATCGATTAAATATGTCGCAGAAAAAGTTTTTCTCTAAAATTAAATTCTTTGAATTAATTACGTTATTATACACAACACGTCCAATTCTAGTGATATTTTTCTCCCTCAACCGACCGACGGAGAATTATAGATTTATTTTGTACGAATTAAAAAGTATTAGAAAAAATAAATAACTACTATTAGTTTCTGTGTTGAGTATTTTTCTCTTTTTGCTTCAAATGAAAATGAAAATGTGTGTTCTATTCATACATGTCTTGACTAATAATTACTACGTAAGATTGAATTAAAGCTGGGTGAATCGACAATCAATCAACATTTATACGTTTATAATATACATATATTAAGTAAAAATAAACATTCAAAATAATAAATATTACTGAAGATACTGAAGATACTGAAGATAATCGTTAAGAGGAGTACATATTGATAAATGCTAAATAATTGAAATAGTAATATTAAAAGTAAATTGTCAAAGGAGACATTTTTAATAGATAATTTTTTCACTAAATCTGTTAATTAGACTTATTGGCCATAGATTTCCTTATCTTCACGATTAAAGAGAAGAGCAATGACAATCGCAACAATCGTAGGAATCCACGGTAAATGGTTTCAGATGCGACGCAATGGTATTCTTGAACCCATTTACCCAAGATTCAGTTTAAATATATCAACTATTGTTTGCTGAGGTGCCGCTAAATCAACTTAATTTCAACTTTTTATAGTACAGCAAAAATAAAATGCTCACTTAGAACATACATGTAAATTATAATTTTGAAACAATTAACACGAGTAGGAGAACCAATACTTTATTCGTTACCCCATCTAATCTGATAAAGTTAATAATAATTAGGCAAATACAAATACATATTTTTAAACTTAGAATAAATAAAAAAATGTCTGTTTTCGCCAAAATGTGTTAAACGACTTGAAAATTAGATATAAAAACTCTGTTTAGTATATTTCTACAGCTCTTTTCGGCCGACCCCTATCAATCAACCCTTATGATAAATGGCAACAATATCATATGTTCAGAATGTATACACTACCCCCGTGCACACATCTATGATGACAAGAACAACAATATTTGGTAGTTGAAATAGGATCATAGCAAAGAAATTATTCAAAAAGAGGAGCTATCACCGTCTTGATATAAAAGTAAAATACAGCTACGTATCGGTATGATATGAAACGTAAGCCTATAATTTTTATCAACTTAAGAAGAAAGAGCAATAAAATGTAAATCGCTCGTCTATTATATATATATATATATATATATATATCTAACCTAACCTAACCACAGACGTTTTATTGGTATTTTAACAAATTAAATAACGTCTGTAAGAAGAGGATCGCAAAAAGTTGTTGTAAATGTGCAAATATTTTTCACGCTTTCCCCCTCAAAACTTGTCGAAAACCATATCACTAATAGTTGCGCATGATTAAATTATTATATTTGACGAGAGACATCACCGTAATCGAACACATCCTTTGTACATGATACCAGAGTATGCAATGTAAATATAATAAACTGTGTGCAATAAAAAAAATCTAATTACTTCATTACGAATTTTTTACTCTACATGAATATATATCACTAGGACCTGGACGACTTTGTTGATGACTTTCGAATTTCCCTTTATAACATCATTAACAATGGTTTCCTAGCTTAAAATATGTTTGTTACCAGTGAAATGCTAGACCTGAACAGGCGGAAATCAAATATATTGAAATTGTAAAACCATTGTATTTCAAATGAATAACTTTCCGAAGACGAAACGAGTGTTGTCGTTTGTTGGAAGTATCACCCAGTACGAAAAACGAATACAAGAAGTATCCATGAATAGTTCCGATATTACTATACAAACCTTCGATATACTGCATAATATAAAGCCAGTAGCAATGACGTATTTATGTTACAATGGGCAAGTTTCTACTGCTATACATTTTGAGGTATGGAAAATGTAAAAGGACACTTTAGAATGCGACAAATGCTTATTGTATTTCTATGATAATACGAGTAAATATATATTGAATTCGTTCTGTAACAGGTTAGTTTCAAGTTTTATTTTTGGATTTTAAAGTCAATAGTTTCTATTAACAAATATCAACACTCGGTGACCGGTAGCGATCCTACGGATAGACGGATCTTATCTAAGAATGGTATGGATAAAAATGAAATAATATCGAAAACCGATCATTGTTGTCTCAAACTATAAATCAGAATGCAAGCCACAGGGTACTTATGTATAATAGTTATATATTTCCCAATCATATATAACATCTGACAGTCTTATAGATAGTCTTTTCTGCCAAAAAGGAAAGAAAAATGTTGTACCCTAACAATGTACATAGGCCTAATATTATATACTGTAACGAAAACGGTACACGACCGTATATATAAAATCTTGCATCATAGTTGCTGTATAAAAATCCGGTCGAAGAACGGTATAGCCTTTAGATCGATTACGACCACGCCTACCCTTACGTCACCCATGCATTCAGCGCGTTTCGCAATAAAATATATTTAAACTTGATTTTTTTCATCTTTCAATTTGCATGACTCAAACGTTAGCCTCAACTATTATTACCAGATAGCAATATATAAAATTTCCCACGAGGTTCATTAATATTGATATTGTACTGTAACTAAATAAGTAGGTACATTTCGCGTAAGATTGTCGCAATAGTCACTTTACCAAATCGAAAATGTGTTAGTAAAAAGTATCCATTATACCATATCTTTATTTTATTACAATCTATAATCTTTAATACTAAAAGTAAAAGCATTATTGAATTATATCGATCAAAATAAATTATATAATCAAAAACCTATTTTTACAGACATCTGGTACTTTTGAAGTGATAATAATTTGTGTACGTAATTGTTGCAAACAGCCGCAAACAAAATATACATCACTTAATAAGCAAGAAGTTTTTCTTTAATATGGATGTATTGAATAAAATGTAAAGTTGAATAAATCTAATCCACAGTCTTTGGGGAAAAAAAAAAAAAAAAAAAGACGCGTAATTCCGAATCAATTTCATTATGAATGCACTGAAAAAAAAAATAAAAATATATCGTATTATTATTTCTATTTATAGAACACAGATAGAACTATTTGAAAAATACATTTTCTTTTTCTTTTTTAGTTTTAATGTGACAAAAAATAAATAAACAATTTATGCCCTAAATTAAAATAAAATATCAGATATATTGAAAAATATCTCATTAAAATAGCTATAACTTGAGTTATACAAATATTTATAAATTTCCAGTTACATATCTGAACTAGGCAGGATGTAGACATAATATTTAAAAAAAAAAATTCAATTTTTCTCATTTTGAAATCGAGCAATAAAGACCACCTAATATTAATTTGTGGACCATTGTGCGGTGGTGGTGGCGTGAAGAAACCAAGTCTGCCTAAGACTTATATCATACAATTAGTGAGCAGAACCCTTTTCGGTTGTTTGCATAGACAATCCCTCAAACAAGAACAATAGCGAATATTTACGTATTTACGAACAAAAGAACACTTTACAAACATTTTTAGGCTCATTAAGGATGCATATCCATAAAAAGAGTTTTTACTAAATGAAAACAAAAGTAATAAAAAATAAAAATAACCGAAAAGGTCGAAGCAAAACATTTAGAAGAGAACAGAATAGTTTTTAAAATAACAACTGTACCGTTTTTTTAATATTTTCGAATACGCAATTTTGAGAAATTCTAACAATGTCATAAAACAATAGAAAACAATGAAAAGCATACAATTATGTACACTTCGCTTCAATTGATTAATGTACATTTAATGTTTTGCAAACACTGTTTTATGAAATCTTTTTTACATCAGTTCGATACCATACTTTGACTAACTCGACCATATACATGTACGCATTATTTTTTTTTTTTTTTGTGACATTACATACTGTATAATAACAGGTATTTTATATGAAATTGAAATTATGATCTAATCTTTATAGGTATCACACTATTACCAAATAAAAACTTCAACAGTATTCTATATAGATGTATTTATACCTTTAATAATAACAAATCCCTTAATTTAATTCAGCATTAAATCAGTTGGGTTCGTATCAGTATCCCGTAAATGTTGCCCCTATTTTTTATTTTTTTTTTTTACAAATATTCGACAGTTTAACTCAGTTGTTTAGAAGACCGTTAGAGAATTAAATGAACAACAACCACACATCAACTAGACTAAATATTATTTCATCTATTAACCCTTCTTTAAATTATCGAAGCAATCTTTCTGGTTGAAATCGTGAAACGGACATAAAAGAAAAAGGAAAACACACACATATACCCACACATCATGATAAAACTAATACACCCATCATTTCACTTAGTGTCGAGAAAAACAATTGAAATAAGAAATTCATCATTTTTGTTCAAATTGAAAGTTGATACGTCTCTTTTATTTAACGTGTTTAACGTTGCTACTGTTTATATATCATGATGATGATATGATTATACTTTACTTATATGGATGAGAATTATCTATAGACATACGTTAGTACGGACATTTTAGAGATATTATACTTCACGCAGTCAATCGTGCAATATACAAACAAATATAATACAAAATGCAATGTAAATGAATTATTTTAG